CCTCATGGTCAAGGATCACTCCACTCCCATTCTCAGTCTCATCTGTGATTTCTGGCATAGCCAGGAATCACTCATTATTTAGCTCTACTCCTTCTAACAGTGGTGGGAGGAACAGAGATGAGTCACTTAAAAAAAACATTTGCTAACACTTTTCTGGGTGTATTTTCTGTGTATTTAACTTAGAGATTTTTAAACCTTACTCTGTTTACAATTTTAAAAGTAAGCATTTAGTTCAGATGATAAAACAATAAAAAGTCTTCGAAACATCTCTTGGGAGCATCTCACCTGTTGGGTAAGGACTCCAGATAGGAAATGAAACAAACAAGCCAAAGAAAAGAGGATAAAATTGCCAGCCTTTTAATTAAATAGGAATGATGTATATAAACATTCTGCAAATCCGGATTTGTCAGAACAAGCCACCTGTGCTATACTGAGTCTGGGATTCTAACTGCCCCAGAGGCAAACCTACGTGAGAATGGCCAGAGCCCCTGCCTCAGCCGCTGCCAAAGTTGGTGCACATTGTACTGAATCACCTGAATTCATTCACAGTGCAAATGAGAAACCCAAGATGTGGGTGCTGAATGGTAGACTTACAGAGTTCTTCCCACCAGTCTGCGGGGCTGGTTTTCACAGTCATCTAACCCTTGATAGGATCTTCCCAGGCCCAGATCGCACCATGGGGCACCACGCACTTGTTCTGTGTGATTTGGCAGCAGGCATGGAGTCACGTTTCACATTTTCCTAATGGCTTTTTAAGGTAGAGCTGTGTGTTCTCCATGTTGGCTGCAGATTGACTTGGCAGCTCTCAGAGTCTGAGGGTGGGAATACATCTCATCGATAAATATTTATTGAGCTGTCTGCTCTATCTTTGAGGATAGAGCAGTGCACTAGAATAAATGCAAATATAATAAAACCACTGGCTTTCCAACTAAACTAACAAGCCACAGTTGTTAAGAGACCAAAGTGGGCAGAGAGAAGGAGGGAAACATGCCCCTTCCTGAATCTCATTCAGCCTCTGAAGCCGGGAGAGTTGGAGCCTTTCATCTGGCCCCGTATTGGGGAACTACAGAGTAAATTTGATGAACGTAGACAGTCTATCAAGGCAATGCAAGGAAAAACCTCCTCTATGTTTGAAGGCAGATAATTGTCTCGACCCATCAATTCTTTTGGCCAATGTAGATTGTCTCACTGACCCATGAGAATACAAGCAGGCAGTGAGTCCACCCTCACTAAGCTACCTGCAGATGCAGTCTGTTATGCTTGCGTTTAATCAAACGGAGAGATTAAATGAACCAAATCATTCTTGTATGATGTGTGGGGACCTTTCTACTCCTGTCCCATGAAATGATGTTACCCTCTGAGTAGTATACCTTGTTGGATTTATGTATATCTATTTTGAGTACAGAATAAAGACTCTTGCAACTTCCACTTTTCCAAATTGGTCAACAAACTTGCTTCCCTGGGAAATAATTGGCTGTTGTTTTAAAGTTAAGACCTTGTTGAATGAAGCAGCAACGTTTTAAACCTTAGAAATACTTACAACTAAAAAAAAAAAAAAAACCAGAAGTGTCAATGATCTGAAAGATTGTCATAAAATCTTAGTGGTTTTTGTTTAATTGATCCTCTTGAAAGCCAATGTTTCTCAGCATGGTTTTACTCCTCCAAGTCACTTGTATGGAAACACATAATGGTGATAGAGATAGCTAGTTCTTTTATTCTAAAAAATAAAAACATAAAACCCACCTATTGAATTCCCTAAAATTATTTGTTCTAAAACAGATGGCAGGTAAAATCTGTTGAAAGACACATCAACAAATGATTGATGGGGGTTCTGAGAACACCGCTGTGTGAGAATTATTCTTTGTGCAGTCTCAGTTGGTGTGGTGAGAGGCTGTGGTGAAACAGCTCTTCCTCTCTGAGAATAATAGCATGACCTTCTTGTTTAATTCTCACACCTGCTTCGCCAAAGCCAGTTTTTTCCCTCAGTAAAATATAGTGGAAGATCCTCTTTAGGAGTGGAACCCATAGAAAAGATGAACAACCAACCAGTGGCTGAGGTTTCGATATGGACCTTGCAACTGGAAAGGTATAATGCATCAAGGAAAGAAAATCTCAAAGTGTAATGACCGTCTCCCTTTTGTATTAGATTCTTTATTATGGAATTTATTTATTGTTTCTATGGAGTATTGTAAAAATCCTAGGAGCCATTGAACGGCGTTGAGGCAACTTGGGTTTCACTGAAGTCCTCGTGAGCACCATGGTCTTCCAACTCCGGCTCTTGCTCTGAACACCTGGAGGTGTGACAAGCAGCTCAGACCTGCCTAGGATTTGGCACACCCAGTTTTTACCTTACACTCCCCATGTAACCATCACTTATTTGCAATTTCATTCTGTTTTAGATGCTGTAATAAATTTACTAGGGACCTTGTGGCTCAAGGTTCAAGCACCTGAAATTTGAATCAAGATCTGAGTTTGTTATCCTGTATCATTGAAGACTGGAGTAACCTTTTCCTCACTGACCTTAATGCTTGGCATTCAGAGACTAGTATTGACTTGGGAACATCTTGGCCTTGACCTTGAAAGGTTTGAGCTGCTGGTCTCCTGGAAACGTTCAGGCCACGTGCAGTGCTGACGACAATAAGCACTCTGAGAGACACTTAGAACAGAATGGGGACCTGGAATTGAGAGAAAATGACAGATGGCAGAGTGGCCTGCTCCTGCCAGGGTTATAGTAAATCTCAGAGTGCTTCCACATTGATGGGATAAAGTGCTGCACAAATGCAGGATATTATCAAATGCTAGCCATTACCTTACTAAATCCAGATCACTCTTTTAGTTTCCAAGGGAACTGGGAAATAAAGTACCATTCCACAGGTTCATACTTAGGCCTTAAATCTCATTTAGCAGTATCACTCAAAATCCATTGGCTTGAGATTATTACTGAAGTTGCAAAATGTGTATAGTGATCATCATGAATTCAGACTTTACTAATTGAGGTCATTTACAGAGTTTGAGTGGAAATTTACTTTTGTTTCATCTATACTAGATAAAAAAAGGATGGAAGGTGTTAGTAATATAAAGAAGATTATAAGGGCTGTGTCTACCTATAGTCATATATGTTTTATAGGAACTTGGAGGTATCTATTTGCATATAAATGTAATTAATATGCTAATCATAAAAAGTTCTTATATATGTTTTAAAACAATCCCAGTTTAAATGCTAGTTGACAATATTTTATTGTACAACTACAGCTCAAGCTATTTTCTAGATAACGAGGTGTTTCTATATGGAAATCCTATGTTGATATTTTAAAATAGAAATTGAATAGAAATTGAGGGTCAAAACAACATTCTGCTTTATAAAGAAGAATTTCCATGATATTTATAATATAAAATTTATAATATTTTATTTAAGAAGCTATAGATGCTTCTAGTGGTAAGCTATATATGCTTTGAAAACAAGAACTTACCTTAATGGCAATAGCTGGGATATCATTTCTAGGAACCAAAACTTGAGAAGTTTCTGAGTCACAAAGTTAGATATGGTTTAATTTTTAATAGCAGGCTTATCATTTTATCGTATTATCAGACTGTGCCTTGTTATTAACATGATTCTGATTTAATAGAATTTCCTTAATTCCACAAATATTTACAAATTCCTTAATTCTTCAAACATTAGCAACTGTTGTAATAAAAGAGTACATTTAGCTTTTGTATTTCAGTTTTAAAATGTTTCCAAAATATATTTCTTCTTATTAGCTAACATATTACGTATTATGCTTCTTTAAACGTTTACTTCCCTGATGGTGCTTTTGAATCATTTAAAAATGTTATTTGTACGATGTTTCAGTTCCAGGTGATGAAATTTCTTCTTTGAAAATGATAAAGCTTTGCTCACATTGTACTTTCTCATGCTTTTGAAAGAATGAAGCATAATTACTCATGAAAACATTATTTTGACAGCCAAGGATGAAAGTTTGAAAATTTGATGTTAATATTCCTTTTCCTGCAGGGATGAACTACTTCTATCTAGCTGGCCGAGCAAGTTCCCAGAATTTCCAGCTTCTGAGTGGTGCTTCTAGGACTATGGGGAATAGTATTACTCTGTGGCTGGTATTAAGGAATGGGGAAGGGTGAGAGAGGGGAGAGATAGATGGAATAGGGGCTGGTTCCTATTCTTTACATCTTTGCTCTTAACTTCACTACCCAGTCTAGGAAGCACAGGTCTGTCCCTGAAATACTAACACAAATCCTGGCCAAACTGAGAAGTCAGGAGAATTGGTCTTCTGGTACCTCCCACATGGTTACTTCCTCTGCACTCTGCCATAGAGTATTAGGCATCATGTACTTCTGAGTGCTCAAGGATTCTGGGAAGTTCCCCATTCTATAGATCAATCCTTACCTGTGTGTTTTTTCTAGACTCCCTTTCCCTAAAGAGCTTTTTACCTGTTCATTTATGTTATAAATTCTATATCCTAAAATAGTAATACAAGGTCTACTCTAGAGCAGTGCTATCCCACAAAACTTTCCTGGGTGATGGAAATGTTCTATGTCTGTGCTCTTCAATGTGGCTGCCACTAGCTAGACATGGTTAACGAGCAGTTGAAATGTGGCTAGTGTGATTTAGAAACTGAATTTTTTATTGTACTTAATTTTAATGAGTACAAATTTAAATAGTCTCATGTAGCTAGTGGCCACCATATTGTATAGTAAGGTAGAGATCTAGAGATCTTATCTTAATGCCCAAAATGATGGCTCTAAAGGGAACTGTAGCTGGTCAGTGGATAGGTGAGCCTGTGGCCACCTGCAAAGATGTCTCATCTCAGAAAGCCACCTTAAAAGGGAAAGTCAACTAGGCTCTGCCTGCCTAACTTCAGGATTGGCAGTGTCAAATCACACTGAATAGAAAATATTTCAGAAAGAAGGTAAAATGCTCTACTGTGACTCACATATTTTGACACCATTTCTTTCTTTCTTCCCTTGCCTATTTTTTCCTGCAGGTTTCCCAAGAAGACTTTTTGAACTATTATGCTGGTGTTAGTGCTTCTATTGACACCGATGCCTATTTTGTTTTGATGATGAAAAAATCTTGGAGATTATGACTTTTGTCTATTCTGGAAATCAGGGACTCTCAGAGGGTGGAATGAGTTTGAAAGAAGCCCAATGCTATGGATTTTGATAAGGTATAAACTAAAGTTTCTGAAAGATCTGGAATTTTAAAAGCAATAGATCTTTGGTCATCTTACTTAATTACCCGGAATGTGTTCATCTCCATAAATACCTGAGGATATATTTTTAAATTGGAAAGGAAGGAAGAAAGGAAGAAAGAAAACCAATGAAGTGAGATTGGGAAGTGGTTCCTAGGTAAAATAATGTATTTGTTCTAGTAGGTGTTCCTCTTATAGGTATAAATGTAGCTATTTCCCCACATCTTCATTTTCTCTACTGCCTGTGATCTCTATAGCAGATGGTGATAATAAAAGGATTAGAGGAACTTCTAACTGTGTAAAATGTCCTGAGATTACTTATTTTATTGTTTCTCTTGGTAAATACTCTACCAATAAAAGAAAATTTGTTTTATTCTGAAATTTATGATTCTGTTTCTATTTTGAGATTTTAATGCAGGAATTTTAACTCAGCAAATTCCCACACCTGCATGAACAGGGGACATAAGTGCCTCTGGTGAGAAAAGAAAGTGAGCTCAGCTGGCCCACTTGGTTAAAGGCTGTGCTTTCATGGAGCGGGCTCACATGTTGGGTCAGCCTACTAGGATGAAAGACAGTGTAAAGGAAAGAAGTGTCTATTACAAGCTTTGGCAGCTTTCTGGAGCTTCAGGGTAGATTGAAGAGGAGGACTTTAAACCTGTTTTGGGGAATTCATCTTTTTGAACCCACTTCTAGGCTCCTCCACAAAGCAGGTGATGTCAGTTTTCCCATCTGATTTCTCTTCTTCTAATAATTGCTTTTCAGGTGACAAACACAGCTCTAAGTTGACTGTGATACCCACAGCCCCTTCATCTTGGAAAGAGGTAGAAGTGAGGGTGGGAGAAGAGATGGAAAGCAAAAGTTGTGTTTCTCAAACTTATGAGCCCACAGATCACTTGGGGATCTTAACATGCTAATTGTGGTTCAGAAGTCTGGGCTGGGCACTGAAATTTTGCCTAATGAACTTACCTATGACGTTCATGCCTCTGATCTTCAGATAACACTTTGAGTAGGGAGGGGTAAAGAGATACCAGCTTGTATATTTCCAGTGTGTTTGGCTTATTGTTTTGCCTACCTTTGGTAGGCAATGATAGTCTGTGATTTCTTACTGCTGGGCCATTCTTTCCTTGTCTTTAAGTTCATGAATGTACAAAGGAAATATCAAAATAACAAAGAAAACATATGTGCCTCCCAGGTATATGTAGGAGAGAAATAACACTTCCAACTGAAGAATTTCTCATAGTTCAGAACTGAATCCTGAAGACATCTGGCCTCAAAGATTTGAATCTGTCAGAGTAGGTCCATCTCTTAAAACAGACCTACACTACTCTGAGCAAGCTCATAGCTATTGATACTAAAACTAGAATGCCAAGCCATTGATCTACTATAAAGAATATAATCCTCATGTTTCCAGACCAGATCAAAGAATCTCATCTGGATTTGAGGATGTGAGAGAATGACAGCTTAGCTCTCAGTTCAGGGATGTTTTTAGTAGTTTATTCTCTGATACTACAAAGCAGTACAGAGGAGATATGCACGTGGTATCTTAGGAGAATGCTAATTGACAAATAAATCCTCAAATTTATAAAAGCTACAACACAATATATTTATTTTTCACTCATAAAACAGTACATCCATGTAGTGATTTTGGGTCTCAGGCCCCTCCATTTTGTGGTTTGCTGTTTTCTGGGACTTCATAGCCAACGGTATCCATGTGACAGAAGAAGGTGAGGGTGTTGAGAAGGTTGAAAATCTTTGGCCCGGAAGTGACACAGGTTACTTATGTTTGAACTCCATGTGATGATAGCTAGTCACTTGATTATATCTAAATGCAAGGGAGGTTAAGGAATGTAGTTTTTTCAGGAAAACATCTTGCCAATGGAAATATTAATGGGAGGAGAGTACAAACTTAGGTGGGCAACTAGCTATCTCTGCCTCTTGAAGTAGTAGTCCACATTGCCTTTCATTTTATCACAAAGGCATGCTTGGTGGTCACAGTAGCCCATGTGGAGTGAGACATCTGCCAGGTTGGAGGATGGTAAAGCTGAGGTCTCTCTATCCTCAGCCATGTTAGTAACCAAACAAACAACTTATACAACCATATAAGGAGATGATTCTCCAATCAGAAAGTACGGTCACCTAGGCCTCAGGGCCTTATTCAGGGCCTTGAAATTTATGTTACAACACCATAGAGGCAACTTATCCTTTATCTGCCTTCATAATATGGGTCCTAGGAATTTCCCATGTCCATTCAGGGGCTTTCCATGGGAAGTTGAAACTAAGTTCTATCATATATACTGGGACCAAGTTATTTATTCACATTGGTAAATGAAAAAAAAAATTGTCCTAGAGGCATATCTCTTCTTGGAAGTTTAATTAAAATTTTAAGGTTATTTGGTCATTGAAATCAAAACATGGAGTACGAAGACTAAATATTTAATGAAATTATTCTGAGAGTTTAATGCATTCATCTTGCCAGTGAGACTACAACATTCCTTTCACAAAATTCCTGGAGGGGACTAAAAAAGATGTGCTCTCTGACCTCTCTTTTTCAATGCTTCATAGCTGAGTAACTGCCTGTAGGAAGGACACACTCTTTACTTTAAATTTGTTAATTATACATATTAGCAAAATCACTCAGGTTCTGGCCTATCTTGCCTGCCTGGGGTTGATGTTTGTCTCCTTAGGGTGCTTTTATATACCTCTTGCTATAGTCTGAATGCTTGTGTCCACCCCCAAGATTCATACGGTAAACTCCTAACCTCCATGGTGATGGTCTAAGGAGGTGGGATTTTTGGGAGGTGACTGGGGGATGAGGGCAGAACTCTTAGGAATGGGATTAGTGCCCTTATAAACTAGGCTCAAGGGAGCTCATTTCACCCTGTGAGGCCACAGTGAGAAAGTGCCAACTAGGAAATGTGCCCTCAGTAGACACCAAATCTGCCAATGCCTTGATCTTGGACTTCCCAGCCTCCAGAACTGTGAGAAATAATTTCTGTTGTTTGTAAGCCACCCAGTCTAGGATATTTAGTTATAGCAGCCTGAAGAGACTTAAGAAACCTCTCTTCTAATTCACTGTGTATGAATTATTACAGTAATTTCAATATTTCTCCGAGGGCTGTTTCTTACTAGCTGTGTGACCTTGAACAAATTACTTGACCTCTTAAACCTCAGTTTCCTCATTTGTTAAGTGGAGATAATAGTGACTACATAATAGGATGAGGATTTAAAAAGTTAATATATGGAAAGGTCTTAGAATTGTACCTGGAACTAAATAAGTTCTGTAGAAGTGTTTGTTATTATTTAATGTCACTTTCCAGAGCTGGCTGATTATGTTTTTGAGTGACCTTTCTCTTCTTCCCCATTGTACAGGCTCAGTTCATCTCACCTCCAATCTAGAAAGAGTTCCCAGATGATTTCCCTGCCTACAGTCTTCTACCTTCCTATCATCCCTCACACTAACTCCAGAATGACTTTTTCTAAGTCTCAAGTTCATCCACATTATTTCACTTCCTAAAGGCATTCAATAGCTCCCTCACCCTCACTAAAATGTTCAGACATCTTAGCACAGCATTTAAGGCATCCACAATATTTGCTGAACTATAGTTCCAGACATATCTCCCATGACACTCTTCAGATTTCCCATGCTTCAGGTATGTAAGTGTAGCACGATAAAGAATCTGGTCTTTTCCTGAGTTCCTGGCACAGAGCTTCTAAAAATCTTTGATTTCCTGAGTGATAAGAGTGTCTTTGTTATGCTAATAAGATGACTCCCAGTGAGCACCTAGATAGGTTTAGAATGTGGGCTGGTCACTGGAAAAATCAACCAGGTAATTAGAAAGTTGGGGCTTTGGGCCAGCCACCCTGTGGGAGAGGAGGGGTGTTGAAGATTGAGTTCAGTCACGTAGACAACCATTTAATCAATCATGCCTGTGCAATAAGGGCCCACTGAGAACTCTGAACATTGAAGCTACATGGCACTTCCTGGTGGTTGAACACACTGATGCGCCTTGAATCCACACAGAGAGAGTGCTGTGTTCCCTCTTAGATGCTGCCTGTGTACCTCTTTGGCTGATCTTCCTGATTTAAATCCTTTATATTAATAATCAAACTGTAATTTAAAGTATAGCACTTTCCTGAATTCTGTGAGTTATTATAGCAAATTATTGAACCTGAGGAGATTGTAGGAACCTGTACTTCTCACCAATTGGCTGTAAATTCAAGAGTGCAACATAGAAACCCTGCCTGAGTTTCCAGCTTGCCTGGCCTGCTCTGCAGAATTTGGACTCAAGACTGCAGCATCAACTCTTACCTGAATTTCCAGCCTGCTGACTTGCTCTGCAGATTTCAGTCCTGCCAGACTGCAAACCAATTTCTTAAAATCATGCAAACCAATTTCTTAAAATCTCTCTCTTAATTTCACTTTCCCCCCAGCCCGCCTACACATTACTGGTTCTGCTTCTCTGCAGAACACTGACTAATACAGAAGTGTAGGTGGTCTGGGGACCCTCAAAGTAAGAAGAAAGTATCTGAAGTAAAAGCAATCTTGTTGGGGACAGTTCCCTTTAACTTGTGAAATCCACCGTAATTGGAGGAGTTTAATGCCAGACCTGAGTTGCAGTATACCCAGCTGGGGTTGAAATAGAGAATAAACTAAGTCACGATTCACTAAAGTGGCTCATATTTCAAGGCCCCATTCATAAGTTAAAGCCCTTTACAAAGTTTTTCTCAATCTTTCTGCAAAATTGACTTGCTCTATCTTTCATTCTTTTATGTTGAGTGTGTGTGTATCTTTGTATCACAGTCCATGAGTCAAATGTATAAGAAATACTATTTTATTTTCTTTAATTGACATTCAGACTTATGGTCTTCCCCAGTTCAAGCTGGATGGCAGAAATGCAGCCTGAGTCTTTCTTGGGACACCCACCCAAGCCCTGTGCTATGGTTCTTGAATGTGAAGCAGTGCCAAGGCATGCAAGAGGAGGGGGAAGTGTATAACCTCAGTTTACTCAGGCTGTCTCTGAGGTATTGCTTTCCTTCTTTTCACGGTCCCTTAGGTCCACTGAAGTTTTGCAACTTTTCTACCATATTTGGGAAATGGCAACTTTGAAAAGCTGCCTGTGAGGTAGATGAACATCTCAGGTTTGAGGTATCTGTGGTTATATTTAAGCAAGAAATCTAACAGGCTGTTGAATATTTCATTCATTCAACCAAGAAATATTTATTGATCAAATATTAGCTGTTATCAGTGAGTACTCCTGTAGGTGATTGGGATCTAGCTTCGAACAAAGAAATACATATTTCCTCATGGAAGTTCAATCTAGCAGGCACAGTTCTGAAGTTTATGGTATATGGTTGGATCAGAACACCTTGAAGGTAAATCAATGAAGAGAATGAAAGAATTAAGATACAGGAGAAATCAGATGGCTGAAGAAGAAAGTTCTGGAGTGAGAGGGAAGGGTAGAGTTAAGGCTATTAAAGCTTGGTTTGGTCTTCTGCAGATGAAGGGTCATCTTATTCTTAGGCAAGGGGAATAGTTGGTAGGGATTTATGGAGGTTTTGGAGTTTGAAGATGAGGATAGGAAAGAGAGGAAACATGAGTTATTGACCCAATTTTTTCAAAGTATAGGTAAAATCATCTGCTTGGAATAAGAAAGTCTGAGATTCAATGGAGAATTTGAAGTAAAAGGCAGAGGTTTGACAATAGTCATTGAGGACATTGGGAAAGGGTGCTGCCAAGCATAAATAAATAAAATCACAAATTTATATGGACACTGTTTGGCAGCATTATGTAATTTTTCACCAACAGTTCAGCAGATAGGGTGCAGAAGCAGAGATGTGAATTTTGGGGACATGTTGCATCATCTTGTTCCATAGCATCTATCACTGTAAGTAGCACATAAGGGGTACTCAGTAAACTGTGATGGAATTTAATAATTATTTTAAAAATGATAGGATAGATAATCTTGAAATATACTGTTGTACAGTCCATATCACAAGGGGAAAATCAGATTATGAATCTAGAACATCAAAATCTCAGTATCAAGGTAATTCTATTCTAGATTGTAGATAAAAGATGAAAATGTTAATTATAAGTGAGAATTATATTGATCAATATTTTATTCTTTTAATTGATTTTTATTGTAATAATAATACATACATACTTCCTTCTCCCTCCCCCCAAAAGGAAGACAAAAGAATAAATGGAAGTCTCCTACTTTTATGTTTCCATCTACCAGCCCATTCTCCTTCCCAATAAAAACCACTGAAAATATTTTGAAGCACTGCCTTTCAAACCTTTTTCTAAACATATTCTCATTCTAGTATTCTCTCTTTTTTTTCTCTAATTACAAACAAATTCTTCTTTTAGCAAACACTTTTGTTTACTTCTCCAACATCCTTCATTTCCTTCCTCCCTTGTCCTCCTGATTTTGACCAGGTCCTTATCTCATCCCCAGTTCTGGAGAAGGTGAGCCATTTCTAAGCCAATCAGTGCACGACATTCTTCTAGTGACTGCTATTGGCCTGAAGATGTGCACATGATTTCAATTGGATTAATCATGCTAAAGGGAAAGCTTCTATTTCATGCTTAGAAGAGGAGTACTTCTTTTTAAAATTTAACAATTTCTGTAGGAAATGGTTACCTTTTTTGCTCTTAGATTAAAATATATGTGAATATTAAAATCATTTCATGGCTCAAG